AAAGGGCTTTTTTATAAAATCTGTACAATAAATATACTAAATTAATAAAAAAGAAACAAGTAAAAAAATGGATAGATATCTACTCATGTAGAGTAAGAATAAAGGGGAACAAAATGGCAGAGAATCTACTAAAAGCTGCTCAAAGAATATCTGTAGCTATCAAGTATTGTTTACTTCCAGTTTAACAGTAAAAGGATTGACCGAATAGGCCATGGAAGGTTTTCAAAGGTTCATGCTAAAAAAAGTATTTTGTAGTATTTAAAAAATACTAAAACACAGCATTTTATTTTGATACATTGGTGGCTGCTGTATTTTGTAGTTTATTTTTATACACCTAAAAATTAGGCATTTGTCGTTGTTTTTTTTTTTGTACATTTCAATGTATTTTGCCCATTCCTGTATGTGTGTGTGTGTGTGTGTGTGTATATATATATATATATATATATATATATATATATATATATATATATATATATATATATATATATATATATATATATATATATACAGTAGAACCAATAATTATTCAGACACGTTCAACATTCCTCACATTATCACAGTTTATTGCTATAGATTAGAAAATGACGCAAGACGCAGCGCAATTGCTATTTGCTACTTTCACCTCGGCGAAAGGGTCATTTTGAGGCATTGCGCCACACTGTTTAAATAGCAAATGCATTTGCGATCATATGTGCGCCCATAGGCGTTCTGGTCTAAAAAAGCAGGCGTGTTTTGGCACGTTGCTATTTTGAGAAACTGTAAATAGTCTGTTCTTTAGACCAGAATAAAGTCGGTCTATTGTCTGGCACAAAGTGCGCCTGGCTTACACACTACAGACAAGATGTAGAGCAATACGCAAATATCTTTACATATGAAAAAGATATAATGTATTAAGGATATATATAATAAGGATATATATAGGATATAAATATAAATAATTAAAATAGTACAAAACAAATTAATTTTTAGTCTACATGAATTTAAAAACCACTGCCTTCATACTTTCTTCATCTCGGGAGGCTTTTTTCAGTTAATTCAATTTGCTTTAGTATAATGTTATTATTATTAGCAGTATTACCTATTATATCCATATTTATATTTGTTTTATTAAAAACAAGCTTAGATTTGTCTACCTGTCAGGTTTTAGACTATATGGGCAGTGGCGCCCCCAGAAAATTTTCTTAGGGGTGGCCAAGTAAGGCCACAACAAATCTTGTGGTGGCACACAAAAAAATATGAATTGTGTATATATTGTGAATAAAGAGTAATGTTATATTTTTGTTTTTGGTAAAATAAATAATGCAGTTTTAATGAATTCCAATAATTACTCTTGAAATATTGTAATTTATTCCGCAAGTACAAGTGCAAACCAAATAAAAATCAATATTTAGTCTAAAACCTCTTTCAGGTAAGTTATTTCTTGTACAACATACAACATATGCCATGTCTAACATTAATGAATTATGAATAATGAATATGATTAATGAATGAATTAATAAACCAAACAAAACCCAACAAAATTTTGAAAAGCAGATTTCAAAATGCATCTAGTTATTTTTTTTTTTGCATTTGTGGTTTTCAATCAGATGAAACACAACTTTTTCATTTCAAAAATAATTTCTTAATAAAAAGTGTGCAATCTCAGTGAATCAGCTTCGTCAGTGGCGCTGATCAATCCACAATAATTTAGTGGCTGCATTTTATTTATTCATTTATTTATTGAAGTATTGTGAATTTAAGTAAATACATTTAAATTAATAATATCAGCAACTATCATATTGGGGTGGCCACAGGGGTGGCCACAGGGGTGGCCAGAGTTTACACAAGGGTGGCCGTGGCCACCCCTGGCCACCCCTTGGGGGCGCCCCTGCATATGGGGCAGAGCAGGTGTATTTGGAAATAACTCAGTATTTTGAACACACTTCGTTAATGTTGTTCATTTATTTGTTTGCTGTAAATTAGAACTGAATTTAGAAATATTTTTGAAACAAATCTTTGCGCTTAACAAACGAAATTAATTATTTATAGGCTAATTGATGTCTGTGCGTAAAGGTTTCCCTATCCACGAGAGCAAAAGCGAAAGTGAACTTACTTTACATCCTGTAAATAGCAAATGCGCTTATGACACGACACAGCTGGCTCTTAAAGGTAATGGGAGATGAGACTCTGATTGGTTTATTCTCAAAACACACCTATAACTTATTAAGAAAATAAACTCAACCCGTTTAGACGATGCGCCATGGCACAAAGCGGATTTCCCATCCTTAAATTTGCAAATATGCATTCTGACACGCCCTTAAAGCGTTTGCGCCCTGCGCTTTACGTTTTTTGCATGGAGCGTCAAAATAGAGCCCTAAAATATAACAAGTTAAACTGTGTCAGAACAAGTTCATTTTGATCATTTCAGGTGACTTTGATAGAACGTAACATTATGTAATGGATTACAATCAACCAAAGAATTCTTTAAAACATTTAGTATGCCAATATTTACACATCAGGTCACCTCAGTGACAACCTGTTGTCTCACAGGCTGTCAACCAGATTCGTCCAAACCTACATTTTAATATGTTTAAAATTAAGATTTTTTATGATCTGTCATTGTTTATATTATTTGGGATCAAAAGTGGATCAAAAAAGAGCAGAATGGGTGTTGTTGAATAGCTTTAGAATAGCTAGAAATGTTGACTACTGCATAGTGTCCTGTACCCACTAGAAAAAAAACAAATCAAAAGTAATATCTGATATCTGAATGTTATTATTGTTTGACCAGTATATAGTGTGTGTATAGCATTTCTTAAACTACTGTATTGCTTAAATATATTTGATTTAATGATGATATTTTTGTGTATTATCCATTAGTGCTTTACCAGCGTCTTCAGACATGGTAATCAGAGTCCCATCACAAAGGGAGCACATCGACATGTCATCATGCCTAAAACAAATATTTTTAGCAAACCAGCCCAAGCCTCTGGTAACTTTTTTTTAATTTATCTAGTGTTCATAAAACACATTCTGAGTACATTTTAATATAGAATTTATAAAAATATATAGTCAAATGTAGGTTTTAGATTTTTTTAAATTTGCATCTGTTTGTCTTCAGGAATTGTTGGCACAGTCTCTTCTCCTTCTCTTGGGGTTCACATTATGCAGCTGGGTCAGGTGACTCTGGAGGTTTCATCAGGAGACATAACCAAAGAAAACACAGCTGCCATTGTCAACTCCTCAGATAAGACATTTTCTCTTAAAGCAGGTTAGTCAACTTCACACATAAATTCAGTCATGCTGTTATACATTTAAGATCGAATGGTCATTCACAGGGAATTGTAGTGTAATTATTCACTCTCCGTTTGTAACCCAGGAGTATCCAAGGCCATTTTAGATGCGGCTGGAGTACAAGTGGAACAAGAATGTTCACAGATTGGTTTGTATTCTTTCAAGTTGGCTACTTTTGCTAGTTTGCTAGTTTTTGATAGTTCAAGAAAAATCTGAAAAGAGAATCTTTAAATCCTATTGATAAACATGTTTTTCTCAATAGTGGCATCATCCTACTCGCAGCAAACGGAAATTTTGACCTCAGCTGGACAACTCCCATGTGGAAACATCATTCATATTATAGGACGCAATAATCCATCTGACATTAAAGGTGTTGTTTTGTCAGTTCTGAAGATATGTGAATCACAGCAGTTTACCTCCATTGCCTTCCCTGCTCTTGGCACAGGTAACATGGTTTGTGAGGTCTTTGGGCTCATTTACACAGAATACGTTTTTCCATTCCAATGCAACTTGATGGACTGCACAACTGTGCATTTCTTTTGACATGAATGCCACTGCTCAATATCAGTTTCAAATCAATAGACAAAGAAGAGCAAAGTGACAGAAAAGCAATGCAAGTTTCGTTTTATAGGTGCTCAGTGACCTGAGCACTACATCTTGTGTTTTCAGATGCAAAGGCATGTTCTGTATGAATGAGCCCTATTGTTTTAAATTATTTCACAGCAATAGTAATTATTTAATGATTTATACATTTTTTGGTATTTGTCTGAATCTGTAAATATCTAAAACTTTAGGTCAGGGCGGTGCAAATCCAGCTGATGTTGCAGATGCAATGGTTGATGCAGTTGTTGACTTTGTGAAGAAGAAGAAACCTGTGCATGTAAAGGTTGTGAAGTTCCTTATATTCCAGGCGAGCATGCTGTCACATTTCCACCAAAGTATGGTCAGAAGATCTGGTGAGAAAGTAGAAGAGGATAGAGGTCTGTTAACCAAACTTAAAGGTTAGTAAAGAGTAAAATTTTTGTGAATACGTTTAAATAGAAACAAAAATAAAGCATTATAAATCTATCTGTTTCTCTATCAAACATGTAGACTTTTTTTCATGGGGAAGTTCAGAAACTCCTCCAAGTGAAGAGTTTGTGATGGTGAGTGAAGATATTGAGCCGGCTGTGTTTCAGCTGTGTGGAGAGACACCGCAGGACTTGAGTGAAGCCAAGGAAATGATCAACAATTTGATAATTCGGGAGCATTTGACCAACCCAATCCGTGATCCAGCCATTGCTCATTTCACCAGAGAGGATGTAGAAATGCTGAATGCCATGCAGAAGGAACTTACAGTCAGTTTCAAACTAGAGAAGAAAGGCCAAGACTCTGTCGTTACATTGCAGGGTCTGACAAGAGACGTTCACACTGCAGAGAGTCGCGTTCGGGACATGATCCGCAAGGTGGAAAGAAATGAAAACAGAAGACGTGAAGCATTAATGATCAGAGCTGTAGTTAAATGGCAGTATCAGGAGAATGGGCAGAGATTCGAAAACTTTGACCTGTTGACCAATTTTGACTTGGAACAAGCCTTTCAGAATCGGCAGCCTTCAGTGAAAATCAAGATTAACAATGATGAATATGAGGCTGATTTAGTTCGCAAAGAGGCCAGAAGAGGGAGAATCCGGATTGAATTGAACAGAATAGATCTGGAAGGTGAGATTATTATTATTATTATTATTATTATTATTATTATTATTATTATTATCATTATTATAAAAAAGAAAAAAAACAGATTACAAACATTGATTTGAAGGCAATCAAAAATTACTGAAGTTTGAGTTAGTTCTTTGTTTTATCCACAGATGCAGCTCAGAGCTCTTTACCTTCACACTGGGAAGACATGACGGGACAGCCAGTTGTTCTTGTAAAACTCAAAACAGACTCTAAGGAATATGCAGAAGTGGAGAAGAAGTTCACAAGCACTGGACTATCTAACATCATTAAAGTAAGGCTAGACTAAGAGTGAGAAGTTAAGGATTATTTCACCCTAATTATTTACCCTCATGTGGTTCCAATTAGGGCTATGCGATTAATCAAAATTGAATCGCAATTGGGATTTGAAACATTACGATTAGCTAATCGCAGGAGGCTGTGATATGAAATACATATATATTTATTGTTTAATTTCGGGATGATGAAATTTGCTGCTTCAGAAGCATTAATTGACAAATTAATATAAAAGAACAGTAGAACATCTGCAATATGGGAATATTTTTGATTCAAAGTCACAGACACAGAACAAAAACAGGTAATTTGTAAGAATTGTTGCCACAGCACGAGGAAATACAACAACCAGCACCTAAAAAAGCATCCCAGGTGTCTATATGAGGAGTGCTAACTGAAAATATTGTCAGTTACACTCAATCTAGTAGCAAGCAACAGCAAAGTACAATTTCAGAGTTGTTTCAGCCATGTTGGTGTACAAAACTGAGTGTTCTGTATTTTTATAATTATTATTTTTTGATTTTATAATAAGCTACACTATCTCCCTAATTTCAGTTCAACTTGTTTACAGATAATGCCATTATCTTATAAGGTAATGTCATTTTATTTGTATTTACTGCTTTCTCTAAAGAAAAATTTGTGTTTTATTTCTAAATATTTAAAATCTAATTTGAATAAATGTTTAAGTTAGTATCCTTTTAGTTCTTTTTTTAACTAACTCTCACTGCATTTTAGCAGTGAAAAGCTACAGATTATACAGATTATTGAGCTGACTTACAAAATTTAAGTGCAAATTGAAATCGCAAAAAGATATTTTTCTCAAATCGCACAGCACTAGTTCCAATTCCCTGAGACTTTCATTCATCTTTGGAACACAAACTAAGTTATTTTAGACGAAATCCAAGAGCTCCCTCATCTTCCATTGACAGCATTGGTCCAGAGACATTCAAAGTCCAGAAAATGAACCAAACCCATTGATGAAACATTCCATGTGACTTCAGTGGTTAAAATGCAATTATACAAAGCTCTAAAATACCCCTTTTGTGCCAAAAAAAAAAAGTTAATATCTACAGTAATGTCAGGTCATTAGGGTTCCTGTTTACTAAAGGGAGTATAATGTATTGCAATTAAAGTCAGCAGCACAAGACACAAGCATCATACAATTGAAGTTGCCACACAAAAGTGTTCTGGGAGCTTCATACAATCACAGTTGCACCTCTGAAATCATTTGAAATGTTTTGATAATGTTTTTTGGTTTATTTTCTGGATTTGAGCGTCTCGGTTGGTCTAAGACTTTATCTAAAATTTTGTGTTCTAAAGATGAACGAAGGTATCAGCGATTAAAATTACATGAGGGTAAGCAATAACATAATTTTCATTTTTGTGTAAACTAACACTAATGTATAGTTATTTATTTTAAAATGTTCTCCTGCTTAATTGAGCACCACAGTGTAATACAAATATTTTATTAAGCCTAACGTTTACCATAATGTTTAGATTCAAAGAGTCCAGAACAGCACACTTTGGAGAAACTACAAGATCAAAAAGGAGGAACTGGAGGACAAAAACAAGCACACAAACAATGAAAGGCATCTCTTCCACGGCACTGGCCCTGACACAACAGATCAGATCAACCATCATGGCTTCAACCGCAGCTATGCTGGGATGCACGGTATTGGTCAAATTAAGCATAAACTTTATTTGCATTTCTATGTATTCTTTTAAAATAATAGTCTTCCTCTGGTTCTTTTTAAGGAGCCATGTTCGGGAAAGGATCATATTTTGCTGTGGACCCGAGTTACTCAGCACAAGGCTACTCTAAACCAGATGCCAAAGGACATAAACGCATGTACCTTGCCAAGGTGCTGGTTGGTGACTTCACTCGAGGAAATCCAGGTCTTCTTGTTCCCCCTGCAAAGAGCTCCAGTAGTGCTGATCTCTATAACAGTGTGACTGATAATGTGAACAATCCAACCATGTTTGTGATCTTCAATGACGTACAGGCTTACCCAGAATACCTGATCACATTCCAGTAATGATTATGAACAAGTGAGTTTTCATTCGAGGACAGGATGTAGGGAGATACAGCAAAATTCCTCTTATTGAAAAAAATAAATGCAAAAAGCATGCCCTATCTAAAACCACCGTCCCATGTACTATGCCTTATACACAAATAAATTTTTGTTTTATATTATATAGTTCTCCACATATGAAAATTTTTCGCACTGTTAAAAAAGCCATGAAAATTGTTCAACGAACACCACTTTTGTCATTCTTTAACAGGAGGAGAACAGAAAATATGCCATTTCATTTATTTAGAGATTAAACTGCCAAATAACATTGCTTTATAAGTGACCAAGGAAAGCAATACTTAGAAAGAGAGAAGAAATGTGTTATGTTCAGAAAAAGCATTAAGCAGTTAGGTTAGAATGCCCCTGTAATGTAAAGTTCAGAAAAAAATTCTCTGTGGGTTTTTGTGTTTTATAATATATTGAATAATTAAGTAATATCATGCAAGCAAGAGTGTTTTCCTAAATACCAGTTATTAGTGTGATAGCATACAGTATAAACAAAGGTCCATCTGAAAGACAATTTCAATACCCACACATACTGTACATTCTGGGCAACTTAATAGCCAATATTGTCTCAGGTTTGAAAGGTAGCAAATCTCATGGGATTGAATCCCTTACTTCATCACAATATATAGAACTCACCTCAAAATTCAGAAATTTTGAGGCAAATCTTGCAAGTATTTTGTTAGATATTACATATAATTTGAGAAAAAGGTTAATTTAATATTCTGAGATGGGCCTTTATGATTATGTACTGGTATTTGTGCAATATAAAGCACCACATCTAAATTGAGCCATTTTTGGTCAACAGAATTAAAATAAAGTGCATAATAAAAAAAAAAGTCAAGTCAACTTAATAGTTGCAAGTTACAAAGGGTTTATTCACTTATTTTACAATAATGACTTATTTTAAAATAAATAACTTTTTTAAAGTAGAGTAGCAATGCTCTTTGTTGTATTGGGACTGGCCAAGCCTTTTTGTTTCTAAATGAACAAATTTCAGTGAATGAATGAATGAATGAATGAATGAATGAATGAATGAATGAATGAAGGATATTTGTCACCACCAGTAGGGGAGTTTAAGTGTCATATGTATCTATATTTGATAAAACTCAGCAATAGACTAGCACAAAAACACTACAGAAATATACTACCAACAATTTCTTCCAACCAGGCTTTTTTTTATCCTGCCAACTGAATTAAGACCTGATTTTATTTTACTTTATTTAAAAGGGTTTACATTGACATTCTGTTTTTACTGTAGATTCAATAGAAGACCATATTGGCTAAAATTATTTAAGTTTATATGTAGCAAAACCTTTGATTAAGATACGGTATGGTTTGCAAATA